TGATAATTAGAGAAGCACTGGGACATTTGCAATAACCCTTTGTGAATCACTCACACCACCAATGACCAGAACGTAATTGAATTACAGCAGTGAAGGGGCCAGTACATCTGAACTACTAGTCTCATAGGCATCAGACATTAGTTTCTGTGTTTTTCATAGTTTATCTTCACCTCCCTTTGCTTTAAGACAATGCAAAGTGCATTTTTGCATACCACTCTATTCAGGGTATAAAGCTTTCAAATCTCTTTTTATGTTTATCTTTTTATCAATTATTCAGTGTTGAAGACAAAGTTTCATAATGAAAAATCAAAAAAAGGCCTATATTCAATTGTTGCGTAATTTCTTTAGAAACTGATTGAGCTGTTTTGGACAGGAAATAATAACAAACTACCCCATTATGAATTTGTCATGAGCGATCTGGAATGTCTCGGGACATCATTATCGGCTTGCTTCATTGGAAGATTTGTGTGATAAACAGTTATTAGCTTGTGAATTAGCTCACAAGGGATTAATTATTATTTGACATTTAAATGTGTCCCTTAAAAGCAAAATATTTTAGAACTCATTAATGGAAATGCAACAGTTTAATTGCCCCTCTGTGGATAATACCACTATTGTCTAATTAACACAGATGTGGCCAGAGGGCTGGTGTTCTGACGATTCATGCTACCCATCGAGATTTGCTACTTACCGGTTATGCGCATGTGCAGACTCAGTTTTTTTTTACAAAAGGTACATTTTCCTGTTATAATGTATAATTTCCCTTTTAAAAAAATGCTTACTACCATATGAATATTTGTACGGTCAGCCAGCTGAAAAAGAATAACTGAAGGTTTCAGTTACTATGAGGAAAGGTGTACTTTGACAAGTCAGAGATGAATATTTTATGATAATTTTTACTTTTCACACCGTTTTAAAAATAAAAACAGTAGTCTACAGTATAGAGTAGCTACTCATAACTTAGAATTGTATTATAATTGTATTTCATATGACTTTAATCGGCATTCTGTGATCAATTCGCGCTACGGTAGCATTTTTCGACAAGGCAGCAAAAATCGACAGAACACCGGCTCTAGCCCTATCTAGGCGAGATTAAGTTTTGTGCCATATTGTATTGTTTAGGCTGTAGTAAAACAAATGCACTGAAAAATAAAGGAAACTTGACGATGTTCCTTTCCAAAGGAAAATGATCACGCTTGGTCATGTCGAAGCATGCAGGACCATGAGGAATAGAGTGGTGCAGGTATGACGTCACTTTGTTGGCCAATTGGCATTTAGCATCATACTGGTTCTCTCTGCAAAAACCCAATAGGATTTTTCCATAGGCTTTTGGAGTACTGCGAAAAACAAGCTCTGCCCTTGTGAAAAGAAAATATATATTTCCCTATACATGAATAATCAATATATTAAATGGTTTAACAGTATATTTGAAAATATACATAATACTATATTGTGTTACAATATACAGAATTTTACATAAGTTGCCGCTTTTCATATATTGAAAAATTTGTGACAATATATATAACTAATATTAGATAATGTGTGTAATTTTATCTTTAGTAATATGATCATCAGAAATGGTACTGCATGTGTAATATATTGCAGATATAGTTACTCATGCAGCATAAACGCACATATTTAGAAATATATAATGTAAAATAAAAAAATGTTTTAGTATTTAATTATGTACGTGATAAATGTTTCTTATTTTCAAGCTAACCAAAAGCACGCTTGACTTACATGTACTAAAGTATAACTTTCACTGTCTGATAGAGAAGCTCTGAGAACTGCACAAACATAACTTGTAAATTATAATTGTAATAATAAATATGCTTGGCCAATAGTCAACCTAACCACAGGCTCTACTCTTCAGCACAATGGTAACTCCTAAAACTCAGACATACCAGAAAACCTTATAAAATCCGAAATAATGGAATATTCAGTTTTTGTTCAAAAGCCTGGTTATGGTGATAAAGCAATCGAGAAACACTGTAATATATAAAATGCTGTTTTTTTCAGAGACTGATGCAATCGTAACCTAAAAATGTTATTTTGTGTATTTAACATTTTTAAATGGAACAGCGTTAGAGTGCCCAACACGGTAAGCATAGGCAGAGTGCCATCTTACTGTGGGTTAGACATTTTATAAATGTTATGAACACTAATAAAACATTGGCCTTTTTAAGTTACAACCGCATCTGTTTCTGAAAAGCGGTGATTGATTTGATATTGTTGTTATGTGTAAGCATATTTCGATAATATTGTCATTATAACAAGAATGCTATATTAAAAATTACTTTATTTTGTTCCAACGAGTATCTGTCTCGGAACTAACCACCAACCGGTTTTCCAAGTTTACCCGCCTCCAATGTGGGGCCTTTCCTTCACAATTTCGAGGTAATTTCTCGCAATTTCAAGGGTTATCCTATCCTAGGGCGTCATCTAATTGACGCTTTACCTTTAGCGTGTTAGATGACACGGGTAGGTTTAGGTCTGGGGTAGGTGTTGGGGTTAGACCACTAGGATAGCGTCATCTAACTGACGCTAAAGGGTGCCTAAAGCGTCGGATGTTGACGCATGGTCAAAAGCACCAGTTAGATGATGCCTTGGGATGAGAACGGGCTGTCAACTCGCCATGTTTACGTCTTCTTGTTTACTTCCGGTCTGGCACATATAAGAAGTTCCTTTACTCAAAAGACCAAGATTCCTTGCGAATAGAACGTGCACAGAACACAAATCAATGTTCCTTTTGATGGGGATATGCTGATGCGTGTTTACATGACCAAGAATTCGGGTTAGAAAAGAAGTACCCATGGATCATAACCGGGTTTTTAAAATCCGGGATATAAGCATACTCGGGTTTTTGCCGGTGTTTACATGGCTGTGCACGGTTTTGAATGGGTTATTGGCTGCATTTAAACGTAGTCATTGATAGTGAGAATGGGGTATAAATGAGTGTGGAGCTGCGTGAGGAACTTAAGATAACTAATGTTCGGCATTTCATTTAGAATAAAAATCATAACAAGGACAGGTGTGAAAAGGTTTTAATCACTGAGAAGGCATTCACAAAATTGAAGTATATTAAAGTACATTTTTTTTACAAAAAAATAAGTGATGTACTTATTGTTTACATTTTATTGCAAAACACTTTTGCTGCTGTTGAGATAAGGTTAGGGCCACGTTTGGTGGTCTGGTTAGGTTTAAGGGTGGGTTAAGGGAAGGGTCAGCAATTTAATTATAAATGTAATTATGCTTATTTTTATACTACTTTATTCAAGGCACACAACTTTCAATTCTATATGTGTTTATGTATTGACAATTATTTAATGTTGATGTTGAAGACAATGTTTCATAATGAAAAGGCCTATATTCAGGTGTTGCATAATTTTTTTTTTTAGAGCTGTTTTGGAAGGGAAAGAATAATAAACTGTCATGAGGAATCTGGATCGTCTCGGGACGTCATTATCAGCTCGCTTCATTAGCAGATTTGTCTGATAAACATTTATTGGCTTGTCAATTAGCTCCCAGAGGATTAATTATTATTTGACATTTCAATATGTCCCTTAAAAGCAAACTATTTTAGAACTCATTAATGGAAATGCAACAGTTTCATTGCCCCTCTGTGGATTCAATACCACTAGTCTAATTATCTGTTTCAACAATATACTGTGTAATGTGAACAATAACAATTGGTTCGGGGTGATGCAACTATAGTCCTGAAGGTGTTCCAATTACTTTGTATCAACAAACATTATTTACAACATGACTCTTTAAGGTAAGCATCTTTCTGTCAGTGGGGAAATCAGCTGTCAGACCATATCACCTTGATAATAGAAATTAATTACAGCTGTAACTACATGCAGGTATTTATTTATTTATTTTTTAAATATTGTACAATTTTAAACATGTACACAATTTGTGCAAGTATAGCTTTTATACATTTATTAGAATAAATCTATCCTAAACATGCTAATGTCTACTGGCCTGATACGAAATGATCGTAGGACTACAGATGGAAATTAGCATAGTGCTAAATCTGGTGCAGCCATCTTCTTAATGTAACTGCACATTGTCCTTTAATAAATAAACTAAACTAAATAATAATTAAAAAAAAAAACAGATCTGTACAATATTGTGAGCACAGTGTATATCGTTAGCTAACGTGTACAAGCACGTCTCTCACCAAAACAAATGTCCTGTTCTCCACTGGTTCTCTCCTCACACCACAACTCTTACAACATTAATCCTGGCCTGTCCCTGGCAGCATAGCAGGCTAAATATTGTATGGCTGTGGTCCATTATCATACTAGTAAGTATTTCCTCAGCGTCTGAAATGTCATTGCGATCGATTGTTTTCCTGTTGTTTGAATCGACTGTTTTTATTATGGTTATTGATGAACATGGAAAAATAACATGTAGGCTAAAAGGCCAAGTTCTAGATAGCTAGAATAATGTACGGCATTAATGTTAGCTTGAATTAAAAAAAAAAAAAAAAAAAAAAAGAAGTATGCAGCATTCTAATAGATGCCTTTATAAGTAGTATAGCTCCTGAAAGACTTTACTGTAGACCTAATCATGCCATTTTAATGACCAGTTAAACCTGGTCTTGTATTACCCAGTTAAAACTGGTCTTGTATTACCAAGTGTATTGCCTTTTATATTTTTAGGAACAAATTAAGTAGGCTTGATCAAGCAATGCAATCAGGTGATCTGAGCAATTTTCTCATATGGAGATTGTTTCCAGAATTTCAAACAAGATCAGAAGAAAATCTAGACCTAAATGATCTAAAATCGAACAGGTAGATTTTTATTTATTTTTTTTTATCTGGTATTTTGCTGTAAATGTGTCAATTTCATAAAAGTGAGTTTGGTTTTAAAACTGTACTACTTTGTCTCCATCTGCTGGTTATGTTAGGAAATTCAATCAAAAAAAGTTTGGAATGAGGACCGAATGAGTTACAATAAAGTCGGCTGGTTCTCGTCAGTGATCAATCAATGATTCAACGCTCGTTTGACAGGTCTGTCTTGCTTCTAAAAGTATTGGCTAACACATTAATCGCTGGCAATGCATTTCAAAACAAAATATTAATCTTTCTTTCTTTCACCTTCTTTTTACACTTCTCATGAAATCACATCCAAATGCTTGTCGAGATTTCACAATCCTGAAAGCCCGCCCAGCGGAGCAAGTTGTAACCCACTTAACGTCCTAAAGTGAAAGCTAGTCTATATCTCCAACTCTTCACAGCAAGCTGTAAGTACACTTTCATTAATTCTTGACCCCGTTGCTCAAACAGCTGGGTATGCTAATGGAAATTTGTCATAATTTTGAAATAAATCTAGGACAGTGAAGGACAACTCTTAGTCAGACTTTTTATTTTTTACGTGGACAAAGAAATGTTGAGGATATAAATGAAATATATTTTATTTTGCTATATATATTTGTTTTTATACGTACAGTAGACTGTATTCTTTAAAAAAAAAAAAAAGTATGGATGATATTAGGTAAACTCTCCTCAATATTTCTATTCTGGAGCTGAATTGAAAGTGAATTAAAAGTGCTGAATCAAAACCAGCCCAAAGCACTAACTGCCAAGACCTCCTTGAAGTCTTGCCCAACAGTGTGACTATTTGATTTTAAATAGCTTGCAGGAAACTTATTGTAACTTTCCACATTTCTAGATTGAAAATGAGAGATTAAAAATCAAGTTGTAAAGAAATCAATATTTGTTTAATAGTCATGACTTTATTTCTCCAGAATGTGTTGCATCTTTTAAACACACAAAATGACAGCTATCGAGACAACGAGACCTCGCAGATCAATGGGTCTCTTTAACAATATCAAGGTAAGATTCAAAATTGAAACTATTATATACAAATATGACTTCTCAAATAAAGGTGTTCAGTGACACAACTTGCCCCACCTCAGGAAAAGATTACATTAAACAGACCAATATGATTTAAAGGGTTGGTTCACCCAAAAATGAAAATTCTGTCTGTAATTACTCTCATGTTTTTCCAACCCTGTAAGAATTTCGTTCTTCGTTTGTTTTTGATGAAATCTGAGAGCTGGCTCACTACTTCATAGGCTGCAAGGTAATTTCATCTGCCAGGCCAGAAAAGTTAGTAAAGACATCGATTAAATAGTCCAAGTGACGACAGTGGCTTAACCTTAAAGGAGTAGTTCACTTTTAAAAAAACTTTTGCTGATAATTTACTGACCCCCATGTCATCCAAGATGTCCATGTCTTTCTTTCTTCAGTCGAAAAGAAATTAAGGTTTTTGATGAAAACATTCCAGGATTTTTCTCCTTATAATGGAGTTCAATGGGAACCAAACGGTTTAAGGTCCAAAAGACAGTTACAGTGCAAACTGCAAACTCTTCAAAGGGCTTTAAACGATTCCAGACGATGAATAAGGGTCTAATCAAATGAAACGATCGCTCATTTAAAAAATAAATAAATAACAAAGTTTAAGTTTTATAAGCTCAAATGCTCGCCTTGCTCTGTTCTGTGATGCGCGTTCGTGACTCTCCTGTTCGAACTCGTTCGTCAAAATGAACGAATCTTTTCCCGAGTCAGCTCGTTCATTTCGTTCGTTGAATGAACCAAATGACACGAAAAAAGATTTGTTCGTTTTGATAATTAATAAAATAATAATTTTCATTAATAAAATAATCATTAATAAAATAATAACTGTATTATTTTGTTTTCTGAGGTCAACTTATGACGTTCGCTTGGTTTTTGCATTCAAAAAACATCAAAATGAATAAGTAATAGACTATTTTCTACCCTAGTTTTGAGCCTAGCTGAAAAACGTTATGTTTTTATGGGCGTCTCGCAATGAAAACTTGAAAGTAAATGCCCACTGCTGTGAGTGGATAACAGTTTTGCATATTATATTGAGTTTCAACTCACACATCGATGCACGTTTTTAGCAATGCGTGTAATGCGCGAATCGGTGGGTGGGGCTAAACTGGCTGTGTTGAAGTAGGCGTTGATCTTCTTCTGCGGGGGTGGTGTTTTATCCTCTTTGACGTCATAGCTCCCGAGTCGTTTGCTGAGCCTGGTGTCAATAAAAGCTTTTATTGGACTAACAAGGACGTTTTCAGTTCTGAAACTTACAGGATATTCTTATTATAATATGATGACCTCTTAGATGTCAAAAGCTTAAGGAAACTCTGATTTCTCAGTTCATCACCCCTTTAAAAGATTAAAACAAAACATCTTTGCAATAACACTAAATGCGCCAAAACCTATATTGATACTTTGCTTAGTGACTCCAAAATATTTGCCGTTTTCAGATTTGTTTTTATGCATATTTACAGAATTTTTACATTTTTTTATCACTTTTTTTTCTCTGTGTTTCAGTTTTTTGTACTGTGTCATGGGATACTACAGCTTGCTCAGCTCCTAGTGTCTGGTTACCTGAAGGGCTCCATAACCACTATTGAGAGACGATATGGATTTTCTAGTCAGATGTCAGGACTACTAGCAGCCTTCAATGAGGCAAGGATAAAATCTTAACTTTCAATAGTGCCAAGAAGATATCATGAATGGCCTCAAGGCAAAACACTTCTTTTCAAGTTGTTTCTGAAACCTGTTAACACGTGGTTAGCAATTATTTCATTTTTAAAGTTACACGTTCAGGCAAAGTCTTAAAGGGCACCTATTATGCAAAATTCACTTTTTGAAAACACAGTACTAAAAAAATCATCTGGGTCTGATTCATTGTTAATTTTGGCAGCAAATTTGGATTTAGTTTTGACCTAAATGCCATTTAGTTTTAGTCATATTTTAGTCATCTGAATTGTTTTAGTCTTAGTTGACGAAATTCAATATGATTTTAGTCGACTAAATCTACAGTAGATTTAGTCGACTAAAATAATAATGGGTTTAGTTCAATTGTAATGCATTAATTTAGAATTTTTCTAAAATGTACAAACCCATATACTCCTAGAGAAAACATCTATTAACCTGTTAATATGAGTGATTTAAAAGTTTGAACATGCAATACAGATACAGATTTAACTACTGTGACTTAAGTTCTGACTGAATCGCTTCCCAAATCGTCACTATCTAACATTTTCGTCTAGTTTTTATTAATTGACGAAAATGTCAATAAATTTTCGGCATAGTTTTTGCCATTCAAAACAGTGAATTTTTATTTAGTTATCGTCTCGTTTTCGTCTGTGAAAAAATGCCGTTGACGAATAATTTTTGTCATTACTTTCGTCAACGAAATGAACACTGGTCTGATTCCGGTTCAAACTTTCAGCCATTCTGCTTCCACCGACTGTTTATTGCCATAGATATGCAAGTGACTCCCTCATCCAAAGGCAGGGCGGGGATATGCAGCTCATTTACATTTAAGGTGGTATACACCAAAACAGCTCTTTTTAAAACAGGACCCAAAAATTACATTTTCAAATGGTTATAATAAATGAACTATGGGGTATTTTATGCTGAAACTTCACAAATAGATTTTGGGGATACACGAGACCCATACTAGGTGCCCTTTAATATGAAAAAGTACTGCATCTGCAAAGACTACTATAATAACTATTATATCAGATCATGCAATGTAAGTTTTGTTGTTGTTAAGGAAAGGTGGGGAACACGGTTCTCATCGTGTTTGTGAGTTTTTTTGGGAGTCGCGTACATCGGCCGAGATGTATTGGAATCGGAGCAATGATCGCTAGCATGGGGGTGTTCCTTATAGCTCTACCTCACTTCATTGGTGGAGAGTACAAGTACACAGGCTTCAATAGCAGTAAGCATTTTCTTTTAAATTAGCCCTTTTTTTTGTTAACAACTAATTGTATTTAACCTGTTTGTATTTGTTGCACAGACACCGAAGACAACAGCTCGGGTCTTTGCCAATCACAGTACATTTCCCATGAGGAAGAATCTAATCAGAAATGCAATACAAAGATGAATAGCACAGTAGTGTATCCAATATTTCTACTGGGTCAGTTACTGCTAGGCATTGGCGGCGTCCCCATACAACCTTTTGGGATTTCCTACATAGATGATTATGCAGGAAAGAGGAGTTCACCCTTCTACCTAGGTTTGTTGAAATAGAGTTTTAATCATCAATTCCCCCCAAAAAAACAAAGGTTGATTCAAGAAATAATCCAACTTGATTTATTTTTACAGGCATACTTTTCGCAGTCACTGTAATCGGGCCGGCACTTGGCTACATGATGTCGTCTTTCTTCCTTCGTTTCTTTGTTGATGTTGATAAGATATCTCCAGGTAAGGCTGATATGCCATGTCTACACTTTCACAATATATACTTTAGCAACTAAACATGTTTAGACAAGTGCCTTTTGACGAGCTATACTGATTTTAATAAGAAAGTTTGACCTCAAGAATCAACATGTTTAGCAGTGTTGCTTGGTGTATCATAGTGAGTTTGGCTTCATGCCTCTCGTGTGTGGGAGATCGATGATGAATCAGCTGTTATTTCCACTTTTCAGAAAAAATACTTCTGAAAAATGGTGACGCCAGATGGGTTGGAGCTTGGTGGTTGGGATTTTTGATAGCTGCCACCCTCCTTTTCCTGACTTCTTTGCCATATCTGTTTTTCCCTAAGAAGATGTCCAAAGAGGTGATGTAGATCACAAATCCCATCTTTGACCTTTTTGATTCTGGGAATTATTTTGATGGAAAGCAGATGAATGTGTTTCTGCTGTCATACAAGATTCTGGCTTTGTTCCTGAAGCCAACTTGGGTCTCACAGAACATGTGTATATATATATATATATATATATATATATAAAAAAAACTACAAACAAGGAAAGAAACTTGAGCCCAAGAGGAGCTTGTCTCAGCCTGTTCTTGCCCCTCTTGCTCAACATGCTGACCTCACATAAAACACAAAGTATGTGTTTGACAGACATGTTCTTGCACTAAATGTTCTTTTTCTGAACTCTATTAATTAGCATGTTCTAATATCGGATGCAAAACCTCCAATTTTAAAACACTGATATAAAAACAGGCTTCCTAAAATCCTAAACAGGTTGAGGTTTGCTGGTGTAAACCAGTTTGTTGTAATATGTTCATCTCTACTTCATATTCAAGATAGTTTTGCACTACAAAATTGATAAAATCTTTTGGTATTTCAAAAGCAAATTTAGATTTCAATCTCCTCAGGAAGTCGAAGAAATTCCTGCAGAGCCATCAACAGAGAAAATGATGGAAGACAAGAAGCCTGCAACTGACACGATGGAAGAGGTTTCTCTCACCGAGTTCCTAAAAAGTGTGTTTGCCATTTTACCTATCAGCGATTTTATTAGTCACAACTTAAGTTCACATGACAAACATCAACCTAGGGAAATTAATTTGTGCTTGCTGGTAATGTTGTTATTTGTGTGCTGTCTGCATTGTTTTAAAAGCCAGTTCAGAGATTATTTCACAAACTCACCCTCAAAATTTCATCATATTCAGCATCTGGTCGGACTGGATTAGGTGGTTAGTGAGTAAGATGCAGGTTTATGGCCTACTTTAGTACAATTGCAATGCCGCTCATGCTATGTGAAGCAAATAGACGTTATGCCACGTAGTTTGACCTACTTACTCAGAAGCCAAATAAATGACTTTATTTTGATGGTCCCTTTTGAACATTCTGTTGATAAGTAACATTAATAGACTGTCTGCTTAATATCTGCTAAATCTGTATTGTGATGCTCCCATAACAGACATTTTATTGAATATGAGTAACTCTACCAGTCTACAGTACTAATACTCTAATGAGAGTTAGTAGACATGTAGAATGTCTTTAAGAGACCATCAAGTGAAACCTCGACTACAATTGAATCATTCGAATGTTCTGTTCCTGTGACAATTGTATATCATGAAGTTGGCACATTTGTTCTCAATGGATGGGCTGCACAAAGCAGGAAAACATTGTTTCGTTGTTAAAAGTTGTGTGTCCCATCAATCTCCACAATATTTTGGAACTTTCCTGGTAATATTAATATTTTAATTTTAGAGTTTGATTTTTAAGGAGATTTCTGTAGGATAAATGCTGCTGAATTGAGCGTCAGCGTCAGTTCTGGCACGCCAAGTAGTCAAGAAAGGAAAGGTCAAGAAGTCAAGTAGTCCAGAAAGGAAAGGTCAAGAAGTCAAGTAGTCAAGAAAGGAAAGGAAATTTCGTAGACCACCGGCCCTCGTCGCCGGCACGATTTTAATAGCCGATAGCATTTACAGTTTTACTGATTTAAAAGGAACTTTGTTGTACTATGCTGGAGTAAAGTTCATAAATGGTCATTCTTTCCCATTGTAATTTTTAAAACTATGTTGGGTGGACTCTGTGCCTCTAGGGGGGTTCGGGGGCATGAAAATTTTCCCCCGCAAGAAAATTTTGGACATTTTAAGGTTAAATGCATCAATCTCGTGCTCTCTGAGAGATCACAATTAAGAGCTTCAACCCATGAACTGCTCGTTGAACAAAGAAAAAGTATTAATTTGTACCAGGACAATAAAGAGGGCTCAAACATCTTTTTAGTTATGAGAGTCTCAGTCTGCGTTACATTATCAATGGTGTTTTAGGATGCCAAGCATTTATTATAATAATGTAATAATGATTTATAATTATTCCTATGACGTACTATGTAAAATCCATTTATAGCCTATAAATGTACTATGTAAATGAGTATTTCAAAAGTATATTTTAACCTAACTTACACTATACTTTTGTCCTAATTTCTTCACTTGCAAGAAATAAACCCTTGAGCTTTTATTTAGGAGAAAACACCAGACCATGATGATCGCGTGAGCAAAGTAATCACGCAGCACAAACTGGATGTTATTCTAATGTCAATTATTATAATGGCGCGACGCCATATCATGGTTTCAATTTTAGTTCGTTGGCAAAATATAACGCTAGAGATCTTAATGTTAGGTTTTACATTTTACATCTTTACATATGTGTTGGGAAAAGGGAGAAGAGAGAGTTCGGCAAAAGGCGGATTTGAACTCTCGTTCAGCGCATCAAAAGCTCCTTTCAAGCACTTCACGCCCTACGACCTACGCCACTGAAGCTGTTTCAAAATGGGCGTCTTTTTGCTTTAAAGACAGGCACTTATGTGTGCAAATATATGCTCTGTTATAGAAAATGTTAAAAAATAAAAAAAAATGTTTTCTTCCCTTAGCTTGGGCCCCAAGTGCACATAGCAAACTTCCAATAAATACATTTTATCACATTGGCCCACCGGGAAAACTCCCGACTCTCCCGATTGCCACTCCGCTACTGCTCAGAGGACTCCCTGAACAGAGCCATTCCACCAAATTTGAATTATCAACTTCAATTGCATTTTATTCAATACAATTTCCTAATCATTTATTGTCATATGTGTTCTTGACTTAATGGACCTGTCAGAACTTCACTTGATGGCCAATGCAAAATATGGGTTCTAAAACAAAACCAATTCATAACCACTGACTTATCAAAATATTAAAAAAATCCTTGGATACCATTTTCATGACACCATGTTGTTTCATTAATTACCAAAGTATAATGTTCTTTTCTTCATGGATGTTCTTTTTGTGCTTCAATGTAGAAATATTCTTTCAAATAATTTGGTGTCTCCTATCGTTCCTCAGGCTTCCCCACAATCATCAGCAGGACTCTGCGTACCCCAATTTATTTGTTGGTCGTGTTGGCTCAGGTGAATATCGCTGCCATGGTTGCGGGACTTGCCACTTTCATGGGCAAATTCATAGAGAAGCAGTTTGCACAAACTGCCTCCTTCTCTAATATGATGATGGGTAAGTTATTGAGAAATTTAACATGCCTTTTTTTAAGGTGTTTACACAAGAAAAATTATTTTGCTCCACCAAAAACCATATATCAATATGAGCTGGGTGTTTGAACAAAACGATATGCGTTCACTGACCTCAAAGGTACAAATTACTTTTTCAAAACCTTTACTGCTACTAATCCACACACAATACAGTATGTCACTCTTACATATACCCATTCAAAGGCAAAGGCCTGGAACATAAGCAAGGGAGGATTGAAGCTTTTTGTCTGAGACAAACATCTTTCACTATTTATTGTTCAGTGGGATTAATAATGGAATGTGTTGTACCATAGCATGGACCCACCTAAACTCTCAGTCAATCCTGAAGCATTAAATAGAGAAAAACATTAACAAGTATTAATAATAATAATAATAATATATTTTATTTGTAACGCACTTTACATCAATTTAATGACCTCAAAGTGCCACACATAAAAGACAGGAACATTAAAAAAAAGATAAAATAAATTAAATAAAAGCACTGTTAGCCATAAAAGGCTTTTCTAAAAAGATGGGTTTTAAGGCCTTTTTTTAAAAGAGTCAACAGTCTGAGGGACCCTTAGTTGGACAGGGAGAGCATTCCAGAGAGTAGGCGCGACTGAACAGAAAGCTCGATCACCCATAGTACGAAGCCTTGTCCTCACAGGCTGAAGTATTACTCCCTTACGTGCATGCCACATAATAAATATATTTTAATATTTTAAAAGAAAATCTAATACATAAAAACGGTTTATACATCTGTTTTTTTCCACACAGGTGCCATAAATATTCCTTCGGCCATGGTAGGCAAATGGCTGGAGGAGTTATACTACGCAAGTTGGGTCTGACTGTCAGGTCCTCCGCAGCGATGTGCACGGTAGCAGTTTTCGTAAGCTTTATGTTTGCAATTCCTCTTCTCTTCATCGGCTGCCCCACACCAAACATTTCTGGAATCAATGTGTGAGTTGTGTTTGGTCATTACATGCTTTTAAATATTATGCATTTTTAGTGCCATCATGCCATAACTCAATTTTGGACAAATATTAATCTGACCCTGTTTGTTTGCCCTTTCACTGTCTGCACAGTAATGAATCTCAGCTGTGCAGCAAAGCATGTTCCTGTTCTGAAGAGGCCTTCAATCCTGTGTGTGGCTCAAACGGAGTGGAGTTTCGCTCTCCCTGTCATGCGGGATGTAAGATAGTATTATCGGATTCAGTTAAAGTTTTGGTAAGTTGTTTTCACTTCCATTACGTGTGGTACTTTCGTAATAGCACAAAAATGGGGGCTGATAGCAGGAGCTCTGAAAAAACAGTGCATGGCCTGAACTCAATTTAAGGAGGTGAAGGAGTTTTAGTAATAAATTCCTGAACCCAATGGAGGTTTTAACATGATCCCCAAAAAAGAACATTCTGTCGTCATTTACTGTAATTTTGTTGCATGTTTTTCTTCTTCTTTGGAGCACATTATAAATGCCACTGGCAGGACCACATATGTCATTATGGGAGTGAATGACAACCAAAACAAAAGGGTTAAGAATTAGGAGGAACTATTTAAAGGTTTTAAATGTTCAGGAAGATTGATGTGTAAAATGTAGAAGTGATGTGTAAAATGTAGAAGTGAATGTATCTGAAGTTGATACCATACAGGAGGTTTCCTATATATTAGATTAAAAAAAAAACATGTTCCAAAACCATTAAAAAGAAAAGGTAGATTGGGACACTTTTTGCCATTGAGATGACATACAACCAAAATGATTGTAGCATCAGTTAGTACACGCACACACAAACACATTCCCAGCACTTTAAACATTCAACAACACTTTAAACATTTAGACAGGCCACACCAACCAATTGCTCAATGTACCTAGAACATTACTTGTTTTAAGTGCATACCGACAACTCGGTTGGAAGTGAAAGTAGAACACGCCGGCAGACTGCAGTGATGAGGATGCAGATACATTACTATAAACAACACAGTGGGGAAATAACTGTCTCAGCTTTTCCAAAAACGTAGAGTAACAGCCTCTTCCCACTGAGAAAATAGATCCACAGTAAAAATAACATGGTAGCTGCCAGAAAAACGGTACAGTGTTTATGTAGGAATAGGTCCAGATCATAGGATTGTCATTTGACTATTTAGGTGTTTTGCTTTTGGAAAACGCAGAGGAATCCTTAAACAATCTATCTCTGTGTCGCAATCAGTGTTGGGTGTAACTAATTACTAAGTAATTAGTTACTGTAATTTAACTACTTTTCCCTTGAAAATGTAAAGTAAGGGATTACTCTTCATTTATCTGTAATTTAATTACAGTTACTTCTGATGTAATTGAGGTAAATACTGTGTATAGATCAATCCGATCTCACAGCGATTCGTATGCATTTTATGAGGAATCTAAATATTACGACCGCACTCGAATTATTGTAAAATATGTATGAAAAAAGTGTGAGATCAGACATAAAACAATAGTGGGTTTAACATCAAAATGTATTGTCTGATGCTAAAAACTATGTTTTTATAATGTAACCTTCTCCACCTTGGTCAGATTTAGGATAACTCATGCAATTTTATAGTATTTATTTGAAAGAATTAAGACAGACTCATGTCTATCCTTGTATTATTCAGCTGGTTGAGATTGATATGGAATTTTAAAAAGTAATTAAAAGTAATTAAATACTTTTTAGAGAGAGTAATTAGTACAGTAATCTAATTACACTGCTGAAGAGGTAATTAGTAACTAGTAATTAATTACTTTTTTAGAGTAACTTACCCAACACTGGTCGCAATCATATTTGGATCAAATTGCTGCACATTTTCAATCTGTAAAATGTTTACTTATGAGTGTGTGTGTGGCAAAGAGTTTCATGACATATTCTTATAGAATAGAATGAAAAAGACCAAACACTTCCTCCATACTTTTTTATTTTAATCGCTCTCAAAACAAACAAAGTGTCTTCCTGATGGACCCACAAGGATATAATTTAGGCTTTAGATAAATAAATCACGGCAAACCTCCTTTGATAGTGTCGCTGGATTTATAGGCTGAGATCTGTTTAACATCTGTGCCACATTTATAATGCAGCAGAAACAATAGCTGCCTGTTTATTACTTTATGACTTTACTAACTAACTTTGTTCCAAAGTTCCCTGCAAATATGAGAATAACAGCAATGTTTACAGTAGTTATAAATCAATGGTATCAATAATCAAATAAAATGAATCGGTTACCTAAAGTAACCTCAGTTCTCTCTAGATGAGGGAACGAGTGTTGCCTAAGTTTAGCTTACGCTACGGGAAAGATTCATCTTCTCGAGATATTGAAAGCCAAAAAATTATCCTAGATAACAGTATTGTAGTCGAGACCACCTCACTCGAGTCCGAGTCGACACCGAGACCATAGAGAGTCGAGTCCGAGACCAGAGACGGTCGAGTCCGAGTCGAGACCGAGACCAGTGAGGGTTGATTACCTAATTTACTTTTATTTACTTAGAGAAATCCTTTTTTTTTTTTTTACTGAATTTACTTAGAGTTTAAAAAATATGATCATTTAGGGTAAAAAGCCACATAGTAGGTGGTGTTAAAAAGTAATTTAATTACAATTGTCATGCGCAGTTGCGCACTAGAAAATCACCAATCACTGGGCGTGTCAATCAATTTAAAGAAATATTTTATTAACATAAATTAATAATCATGAAAATATTTTTAATTGAACTCGAGTGGACTCGGGAATAATTCCGAGTCCTAAAAAAAAAAATGTTCGAGTACGAGTCAATTCCGAGTCCAAATGGACACACGAGTCCATGACAAGACCAAGACCATTAAAATATGGTCTCGAGAGTCTCGAGTACTACAACACTGTTAGATAATATCCTAGATTATATGCTAGACAGCTTGCTGTAGGTCTGCTAGCAGCTGCACTGCGTTGACAATAGATAGAAAATGAAGAATAATGTTTGGCTTTATTATTTCGAGAAGATGAATCTATCCCAGAGCGTAAGCTAAACTTGCGCAACACGAGAGAACCTCTTGAAAGAGAACTACTAAATTGCACTTTTCAGTATCTGACATTGGATCTTCTACTATCTCCTACAGAACTACACTGATTGTGGATGTGTGTCAGCAACTGGTCCTCCAAGCTTTGCGTCACCTGGACCATGTAAAAATAGTTGCATTAATCGCCTAATTCCCTTCATGATCCTGTCTTCCATCACATGCTTTGGTGGCCTCACTTTCACATACTACATCATTTATGATGATCCTCAGGTATTTCCTTTATTTCAGTGTAAAGCATGTTAATATGATCTGTATGGAAAGTTAACATCTTGCATCACTTTTATGTTGAAATATTTGCTGATTTGAAAAAGTGGAGAATCTTCATGATTATAAAAAGGTTTGAAAATAGCATTGACTAAGACATAGTGATGAAAAATGTCTAGAAATCCCAAACATTTTTGTTGACATAACAATGGTGTGTTACAAAAAATATAAGGACGATTACTTAAAATTATAGAAAATATGAGAAATCAGGTCTGACTTTCCAAAAGTGTTAGGTTTAGCAGTGTACTAATATGTTTTATATGCATGTTTAATTATAATATGTTTTATATTGGTACTCTTTATGAAGAATTGCAATATGACCGTAAGACAGGTGGTTTAGGTGTAGTAGTGAGTGATAATGTCAAGTCATTTAAATTTAGAAAATAAATACATTTATGTGAGGAACATTAAAAATGAATGGCAACATGCATGGTGGCACATGTTTTGTCTGAAAGGAAGAGTGACGAGGTGAACTCGCTTAACAGGTTGCAGCTTGTTACTTGCTACCTTAGTTGCTACCTATAGGCTACTGCATACTAACAAAAAACATATTTTATAAAGCTAGAAATGCTTTTATTAAAATTCTATTAGGGCAATTAACTCAATTAACTGCAATTTATAAACATTAAATCATTTAGAGCAAGAATCATGCATGACATCCAAATTGCAGTTGTTTTTTTTCATTGAAAACAATTAATTAAAAAACAGTAAGAATAGTGTCCCTTTCTAAAAAGGAAGTTGCAAGCACTTAAAACTCTGTTTGACCTTTTAATCTCTGCAATGAATACTTTGTCTTTTAAAGACAGATCCATTGATCGTTTATCATGCACCTCTGGCCTTCAGCTATAATGCGTAACAGTATCATTCTAGCATAGTGAAAAAACCTGCCTGTGCAGGCCCTTTTGACATCAT